CCCTTAATGACCACTTGTACAAATATAATCTTACATTGAATAGGTTTTGCTGAAGGACAATTGCGCTTTTAACTTTGATACACCTGAACAAAATAGACAAGATATTTGCACTTTTTACCTATAATAGTTGTATACATGTAATCTTTAAAATTTACCAAAGTCATGGAAAGATGATCACATATTCATTGAAAGTTCATCCGAACAAACGAGAAATTCAGAAAAAAATATTCGGGTAAACCAGACATATCATAAAGAATATAGTATACGTTTCTAGGGTCGCATTGGATTTGTGTACGATGGAATTACTTTCCGTATAGACAGAACACTTAAACACTTAAGTCAGGGGATATTTCATAGAGATGCATCGTAAATAAGGTATTTCACCGGATTCCCATTTTCCTCTAAGTCTTTGGGCATTTAACACTAAATAAATGTAAGAACCATTTGAATCATTAAAATGGAATTACATTTTTCAAAGAAAAGTTGTTAAGCCATTCGAATTATGAAAAAAATCTTGTTTGTTTACATATTTAATGTCATTGGAATGTCGAGGAGCAATCTGCCTTTTGTAGTTTTGTATGAACGGTTTACTTTTAAACCTTGATTTTTCTCAGATACTAATCATTATGTTGAACCATTTTGACAGACAATTTTAGTTTTTTGTGAATTTCTTCGGATAATTCATTATTTTAGATTAGTAATTGACCTCGCATATGTCTTCTCGATAAGATTGAATTCACGTTACTATATCAGAGCTTTCACGATCCAATCGTAATACTTGACCACCGTTAGGCATTCTTTCACGATCTTTTTCTCGATATATCGAATGACACCCGTGATTCTGTTGTTGTCTTCGGTAGCTGTATGACATATACACATAATATGTTTTTTTTTCAATTATTGTTTATCATAAATTAAAGGAGCCACCATTAATGAAATTATATTATTTTGCACGGGGGAGGAGTGGGGGATAAACGGGTTTTGAAAATGAAAAGTATAACCTGTGTAAAAAAAAAGCAGGCACAAGATTATGAAAGAAGAGTGACGCTACAGTACCAACAGGTGAAATGTACTGTTGTTTTCCTCCGCCGAACCCTCCTGATAAAGATAAAACCAGAAAAGTGCTTTGGACGCAATAAATTAAAATTTTTTTTAACATTTTGTCACCAGGGAGCAAAGAAGTTAAGTAACCATAATTATGCTGACAAATTATTGAAGCTCACGTTTTAATTGATAGTCATAAAAGTAAAGGGAAAACGTATGATTACCAATAACAATCTTCTGGAGACAAAAAAAAACGTTGGTATATCCAACTAACTACTAGTATGGGGGTCTGGATTGGGGTCATTCATTTCTGTATTCTTTAATGATTTAGGTCATTTTTTTCTAATCATTATACTTTTTGCCAATTATTCTCTATTCTTTATATTCTAACAGTGCATTATTCTCTTTTCTTTATTTTTTTATCCATTTTCTCTATTCTTTATATTTTTGCCCATTGTTCTCTATTCCGTAACACCCCTTCCACACCCTCTAGTATATGTCACCATATAGCCTTCACAAATGAGTAAAAGTCATTACGAATGGGCCGTAAATGGCAAAATGATTGAATGCTAATCCCTATTTTGAATTGTAAACTTTCGGAAATTTGTTTTTCAATCAAACGATCTTAATAATAAAATATAATCTCATACACTTTTCTGTCAGTGTTAGTACTATTACACGAACATGCAGGAGTACTAACACTGACAGAAGGACCTATAGGTCATCAGTTCTAATCATCTAAGATAACTATAACCTTTCAGAACAGAAAAAGTAAAGATCATGCATCTTTATTGTTCAGATTGATAAAGTCACGGTTTTCCATTCGTCGGCATTATCTCCGATTTAAATACTATTGATCTGATAACCGCTGTTCATACTTAACGACAGGGCTAGTTTTCTTATCAGATACATGTAAGTATTTACCTCCCTTGTTAATGTGATGTTGTAATTAATCGTATTTTTACCATCTTTATATAGTATTTCATTGTATTATTTACATTTGTGATTCATTTGATATTTAAATATAATAATGTGATATTTCATTATAGATAAAAACAAGGAAATTTGAAAGTCTTTGATTCATTAATCACCTTTCAAATCATAAGTCAGGCGGTCTATTCTGTCTACATTAAGTAGTAAATACACCGGGGTATCAATGGCTATCAAAAAAGGAAAGGAAAACATTGTATAGCGTTAAACGAGAATTAAATAGAGCGAAATGCAGAAGTTGAATGCAAATGTTGATTCTTTTCTTGTTTATAGAAATCAATAACGAAAAACAAAAACACTTATGATATTCATTTTGGTTTTTGAAAAATCAAAAACGAAAAATGAAAAGACTTCCGTTTTCCGTTTTGGTTTTCGAGAAATCAAAAATGAAAAACGAAAACACTTTTGTTTTTCATTTTGGTTTTTAAGAAATCAAAAACGAAAAATGAAAACACTTTTGTTTTTCGTTTTGGTTTTTGAGAAATCAGAAACGAAAAATGAAAACACTTTCGTTTTTTGTTTTTTTGTTTTTGATATTTCAAAACGAAAAACGAATGGACGCAAATATACACGGACCGAGCATCCGAATATGTTTAATGTGTCATACAATATGATGCGCTCTAAATCTCTAAAAGCTCTTAATATAGAGTATAGAGATATGATATGATTGCCAACGAGACAAGTACCCAACAAAATACAAATGAAGTGGTTATAAGCAAGAATGTGTTATCATACGGCCTTCAACAATGAGTAAAACCTATGCTGTATAGTCAGCTATAAAAGGCCCCGACATGAAAAAATAACAAACAATCCAAACGAGAAAAAAAATACACGGCATGACTTATGACAAAACAATAGACGAATGAAACGTATGACATACAGCAACCAAAGACAACCAATAAATAAGAGGCTCTTGACTTTGGAAATGCACATATAGAATGTGGCGGGATTAAACATGTTTATGAGCGCTCAACCTTCCCCTAACAAGGGAAAGTGCAATATAAGAAAACACAGAAATGACTTAACTCATTAGATCGACACGAAACACAAAAATAACTACCATAAAGACAAAAGACAAGAACCTATAACGCAGTTACTGAAAGATAGTTAAAAGCCAATAACAACTAATAAATTGATCATCTTCTCCCAGACTAAAGATCAGTCAGTAAACATCAAACGAAATTAGTGAAACGGCCTCATGAAAAGGTAAAAGAAAAGCATGACTTTGTGCAATACCAAAATATAAGTATATAATATATGTTTTCATAAATGTATCGCAATAAACTTTTAGTTCTTTGTTGACCCATCAAAAACAAAATCAATGTTAGTACCGATCAAGTCAATATTCAAACATATTACTACGGTCTTAAATTGATAGCCTTTAGAATAGGCTGATTTATATATTATTTATTTAATAGGATTAATAAGTTAACATGGGTCGTATCTAAGTTTACGGGCTTTATAAACAATATAACTGAAAAACCGGTTTTATTAAGAATTATTTAGGTTTAGCCAAACTGGATAACCAAATCTTCGTGTTCATGAAAGAATTTAGAAAAAAAAGTAATTTATTGTGACGAAATCCCTGACTTAATGATTTGCCAGTGGTACATAGATAATGTTTCTAGAAACCTAAAGCATCACAACAGACACGAACTGGCGAACATACACGCCGTAAGAATGGGCAAAAGGAACGTCACCGCCTAAAAAAGGAAAATTAACAATTAACAATTGGGAACGACAATTGTCTATTTGTCGTTTATTTTTGTTTTGATATTCCCGTATGAAACTGAAATCTCTAAATTTAGAAAGGTACAATTATTGCTGTTAATATTAGATTGATTGAAATTTACTTAGCTATTTTCCGCTGTATAATTAGATAATACTTGATAATTTAGAACAAACATATCATCAAAATAAGAGTAAGTGTTCTTAAATTCTATCAATTAAATAGAATGTAGACAGATCTTTACCGTTTTGACCATAAACTATGATTCATAACAATAAAAGAATAAGTCTGCTTTCGAGGGGATGCAATTGGCGCCCATAGGAATACCCACAAACTGTCGATAAACCTTAATGCCGAACCGTTCATCAATGTTGTCAATCATCTCACCGCAGTTCCAGATAGTTTATCCAGCATATTTACCTTTGTTTTCATTACAAAAAGGCTTTAAATGAGTTGCATCAAATACATCGGCAATAAAGTTGTTCAAAGGACCATTTAGGTAAATAATAACACTTCTTTTTGATAAGATTGTGTTGACGTTTAGTGTAAGGTAGAGTGTCGAATAGTCATAACTGTCAACCGAAATAAAAGGACCAACAAAAGCACGTAATTTATCCAAAGAGTTGTTTACTCCAAAAATAATCAATTCCATTATTTTCATATGCTTTATTACGAAAGTTAATAACAACTTCTTTAATTTTAGTAAAGGAACTAGTTAAAGTAAACAATATATAGAAGATACTTTCAAATATTCAGAGGGGGTCTTTAGCTGAGATATGGTAGTGACACGGTTTTAACTTTTTTATTCTATGAAGCGCATGACTTTGAATATAGAAGAATTTATAATTTAATTTATAAGAACTTTTATGTATTACTTACGTCATACTACTGTCACTTGGTAATACATTTTCCGAAGAAAATGGTGGGTTTAACCTGGTTTTATAGCTAGCTAAATTTCCCACTTGTATGAAAGACTTGCACCAGAGACTATCAAAGATCCCGTCAACACTAAATTTCCCCAAACTCTATTTACGTTTTGCACCTACTTTGTTATAAATTCAATATTTACATTAATTCAACAGTCATATTTCAGTACGAGCTTTTGTTGCTTTAAAAAATTTTTTGGACTCTTGTGGATAGTTGTTTCATTAATAATTAATAATTTAAAAATAACGAGATGGATACCACGTCTCCTTATTTTTATATTGATACTTTAATTAACTAAAATCACACATACCTCTTTGAAAATATCTAGGTGTCCAATAGCCACACCAAACATGTGATAGAAGAATGATAAGCAGTATTCCGATGTGCCTTGAATATATTCTGATATTAGCTCTGCTTTTTGTCCATTATGATTATTACTTTCTAAGTATATGTAATATCCCATTCCTAAAATATTAAGACAAATCACAAATTACACAATGTACAGGACATTTTTTGTAATCGATATTCGTTTTTAAACATTTATAAAAAAAATTACTTCAATTAAAAAGTATCCATGTGGGTTTTTATACGTGGCATAATGTCCCTTTTTACATTGAAGACAATAATATCAAAATATGTAGAAACACTTCTGAGAATCACTCAACAGTTTGAAATCAAAATGGATGTATGAGTATAGTCGAAATCGGGACTTTATTTTACATTTATCTTGAATAATCACCAATGCTTTTCAATATAAAAATGGTACCATACGCTATAAATTTATTGCTTTGGATTCCATACGACATTTTTTGTTAATAGTGAAGAAAAAGATATAACATGCTACACGAGGAACAAGTGATATACTGGAGTTCCTTATTGACAACATATTTGTTGAATTTGGAGGTAGAATTTTTCAACAAATTGTTAGCATTTTATGTCTTTGGGAATGAACTGTGCGCCTCCCCTTGTCGACCTCTAATTATTTATATATGAGTCGGAGTTTCTTCAGACACTTGTAAAAACAAGAAGATAAAAAAAGCCAGATCATTTAATTTCACATTCAGATATATTGATGATGTTCTCTTTCCATTAGCAATATGGGTTCCATTAATATATCTAGACAACAGACACTGCTTCTCCCCTATCTCATTTTCAGACTTATACCTCGAATTTGACATAAGCGGTCATCTCAGTACCAAAATCAATGACAAACGAGACTATTTTAATTTTGACATTATAAATTTCCCAAACCTTAGCAGCAATATTCCAACTTCAACTGCATACGGGATACACAATTCCCAACTCATTCGGTATTCAACAGCTTGCAGCTGCAACTCAGACTTTATAAAACGTCACCAGTGCCTGAGCAGAAAGTTGATGAAACAGGGTTATTTCAAAGAACGTCTCGTCCTTTTCTAAAAAAGGTTCATCGGAAGATACCAAGACCTTGTTGATATATATTCCGTATCAACTTCACTAATAAGACATGATTGTCTGGAAGTATAGTGTTCTCTTTATTTGTCTTTGTATATTTTTAACCTTTACTGTTTAGTTCTTTTTTGGTAATATCCTTTTGGCGTTGCTCGATATTTATACATCCCGCCATTTTGATATTGTGCTATGGTCACTTTTTGTATTCTTGTCTTTCATTTGTGCTTATGTGCTTTGTCTTTAGAGTGTTTATATGCCATTTTGTTTTTCTTTGTTGTCATAGTTTATACTGATTAAGATTATAACACAATGTTGACTGATGTACACCAATTTTTGACATTTTTAGCTATTATGTCTGTTTGTTTTGCTCACATATTGTTGTCATTATAATGGAATTCTATTCGACTGTCATACAAATGAGAGGTTTAACTAGCTATAAAACCAGGTTAAATCCACTGTTTTCTACATAAGGAAATGTCTGTAACAAGTCAGGAATATGACATTTGTTTTCAATTCGTTTGATGTGTTTGAGCTTTTGATTTTGCCATTTGATAAAGGACTGTCCGTTTTGAATTTTGCTTGGAGTTCGGTATTTTTGTTATTTTACATTTGACCTCATTATAGATAAATTTTCTTTTTGCCTTGAAATTGTCATCAGTTTAAATAGTTTTTCATTTGACTATGGTGGTGTCTGTTTTTATTGCCCCCATAGCGTCTTCTCTCTTTTTAAGACCAAATATTGCTTGAAGTTTGCGTAAGGTACTAGCTAAATGCAATGTGATTTACCATTAAATTGACTAAAACGATAAAAAAATCTTTTAGAAAATACCAGTTGTATGATCAACCGATGGTCCAGTTCGGACAGAAGAAGTTGGTCCTGACCATCGGGTCCAGTCCAAATTGTCAACCGTGCCTTGCGTCCAATGACATAAATCATTGTCAAAATCACAGAAGTCATCATAACCTAAAATATACCATAGTTACAAGGTTGATACATTTGTACGATTGATATTCGATATTCGGAATCCTCGGATTTTATCCATATACTGCCACTAAAAACTTCGCCCGCTAACCCCTACTTTTCTTTTCATTATTTTATCACATATAGTTTAAAAAGCCATATTTGAAAATCTTATAAAATCCTTGTTATTTTTTCATAGTTTTTGAAAGTAAAAAGGTGCCAATGGTAAATGTATGAAAAATCTAGAGAGAATTATTTCCCGCCAAATTTTCAATTGCTTATATTTCAAAAATAAGGACACTGACCTATCATTTTTTCTGATTTTTTAAGTTCAGTTATTTATATATTTACTATAAATTTAAAACAGTCTTTTAAAAGGCTTGTTATTTTGAAACAGAGTAGTGAACATCCTTAATGCTTTCTTGCGTTCATTTTTTAATTAATATTTTTTTATCAATTTCAACAATTTTGAAATTAAGTCTGATGGTAGTCATGTTCTTGGCATTTTGTCAGATATTCGGAATCCTTTGCTTTTACCCATGTAGTGCCATTAAAAGTTTTGCCCGCTAACCCCTATTTTCTTTTGATAATTTTATTACATAAAGTTTAATAATCCATTTTGAAAATCTTATAAAACTTTCACAGTTTTCGAAAGAAAATATGTCAAAATTAAATATATGAAAAATCTAGAGAGAATAGTTTCTGCAAATTTTCAATGGCTTATATATCAAAAACTAGGATACAGACCTTTCTCATTTTCCCTGTTTTTTTTAGTTCTTCTATTTCGTATCAATTTATAACAATCTTTTAAAAAACTTATTATTTGAAATATTTGTCATTAAATCAATAAATATAGTACACGAAACAACTGTTAAACCGCTGTAAATGATGACAATGACATGATATAACTAGCCCTCCCATTTAACCAGAGTAATTTGTACTGACCTATATTGAAACAAGAACAATTTTTATTATCAGCTACAGCTGAAATGACCAAATCATCTATAGCTATATCACTATAGTAACCGGATCCTCTTACTGCTTCAATAGCTAACTGATGGTCTTTTGAACGTTTACTAATATATAAACATGCATTCATCCAAGCTTGCCCTTTATCTCCACTTTTACTCCAAATTGTGTGTAGTTTTGGATTATGACAGTCCTAAAAAATTAATTGAATGAAAGATCAGCGTTCCAATGACCTCAGCCGATACACATATTTTATTTGTCAAAGGAAAACAAATCCAAACATTTTTTTAGTTCTTTTAGACTTTTTCATAAATATCCTACAAGAAAATGTACGCTTCAGATTGATAATAATGTTATGTTTCATACAATTTCTAATACCGAGGCGTATAACTCCTTAAACAGAGTTGATCGGCACTGATTATCGAACGCTTCCAAGACCTCGTTGATAAAAACCCTTTGATATAAATTTCTTAAAATTCCAACAAGAAATGTAGGTGTAAGAGTGCATACAATGCGATGTGTAATATAAATAACATGTCAAAGGGTCATAACTCCTTTTGAAATTGTTGATCGGCATTGATTTACGAACTAATATCCAAGACCTCACTGATATACTTTTGATATAAATTTCAAAAACTTCTGACAATAATGTAGTCTTGATAGGGCTTTATAAAATTTCAATTTCATAAAACAATACAATTTACATTTCCAAGGGACATTACTCTAGTAGAAATAATTAATCAGCAATGATTTTCGAACTTGTCCCAAATATTAATGATATAAAACTAATTAATGATACACATGTCATAACAATGCTTCAATAAATTGCAGCAAACATTGAACGAATAAAGTTACCGATAATGTTAAAGCACAAATTGAAATAGTGGTGTTCAGGAGTCATATTTGTCTAATTAGATAGATATAGGAAGATGTGGTATGAGTGCCAATGAGACAACTCTCCATCCAAGTTACAATTTATAAAAGTAAACCATTATAGGTCAAGGTATGGCCTTCAACACGGAGCATTGGCTCACACCGAACAGCAAGCTATAAAGGGCCCCAAAAAATTACTAGTGTAAAACCATTTAAACGGAAAAACCAACGGTCTAATCTATATAAAAACGAGAAACGAAAAACACGTACAGTCTACATAAGAAAATGCCTGTACCAAGTCAGGAATATGACAGTTGTTGTCCATTCGTTAGATGTGTTTGTGCTTTTGATTTTGCCATTTGATTAGGGACTTTCCGTTTTGAATTTTCCTCGGAGTTCAGTATTTTTGTGATTTAACTTTTTGATGCCACATCATAATTTATCATGAAATACAATTAATTAGTAAGAAAAAAACTGGTAAATTATAAAATGAAAAGCATTCACTTGCAAAGCAATCGCATATGACTCAGGAAATCTTATCAAAGTCGTGAAGTGAAAAAAATATCGTGTTATTTGTAGTAGTGAAAACATTATGACCCTGGGGCTCTTTTCACAAAAGAGTCGCTGATCTGCAAATTGTATGTTGTCTACATATGGTAGAGTTTGCCAAAATAGGTTGGTTTATGTGTCATTACACTGGTTTAAACCCCATAACATTTTGCAGCTGTACCAAGTCATGCTATATGAACCATGTTGGTGAGTCTATTTTTTCAGAGGAGAAGGGTGTGAGTGGTCTATTGCAATGTCCAACACTTTTTTGGGTTCTTGTTATATTATTCAGACTGCCACTGTGACTATAGGATTTTTTTAGTGTTTGAATGATATATAAAAAGATATATAGAACATTCATTACAAAAGCAAACATGCAATTGAAATTAAGCTGTCTACTGTAATTTCAGTGCGAACAATTTCATTGTAGTTTTAAATATCCTTCATATATAATGTTTACTAAAACTTGAGTAAAAGGAGGAGATGTGCTAAGTAGTAAAACTGTTTGAAGTGCAATAAACAACCCTAAATAACATTTTTATTTTGTTGATTTACGTAACATTGTTGAAAAATCATTGACGTTTTAATGTAGTATCTTATATCAAAATTTTTCAATGATTTTCTCATTAAAACCCATTATTAATGACGACTTATCTTCCTATTTGAACACATCATTATTGAACGTATATCTAAAAATTGCTCATCTCTAATAAACATTATAAACCAAAAACATGTGTATTATTTGGCAGCCATATCTATAAATTTGATTGTCAAAATATTCGATATAAAAAACTCATTATGTATACCAGAATTGAAACTGTGCACGCCAGACGCGCATTTCGTCATCAAAAGACTCATCAGTGACACTCGAATAAAAAATATTAAAAAGGCCAAATAAAGTACGAAGTTTGGGGCATTCGCGGACCCAAAAATCCGACAGAATTTACCAAATACAGCTAAGTTAAGCTATTCCTGGGGTAGAAATCCATAGAATTTCGGAAAATTAAAAGTTTTGTAGACAGCGTATTTATAATTATGATCATATCAATGATAATTCATACCAACACAGATATCATAGAGTTCCATACAGAAAAAAAAACTCCCAATTACTGTAAATAAATTTTCTGTATAAGCACTCCCTACTTAGTTACAAAAAAATCCAGACTAATCACCTGAACATATACATTCAAACTGCCCATACTGTTTCCATACATGTGGTAGCTAAAAGATAGACAATACGCTGAAGACGACAAAGTTTGTGACTTTAAAATGACATTATCACCGATGGGTTTGCTTGACGCCTCCAAATATAAATAGTGTCCTGTACCTAATTCAAAGAAATATGGAAATTATGTCAATATTTTATTTTCAAAGTCATTTTTAAGATATGCAACAGTTAATGTAACTGGTTTTTAAACAGCAAAATTAGTTTTGATAACTTTTACAATTAAATGATATTGTAATAATGTAAGATTACTTTTTCAGATCATACGTTTGTTTGTTTGGAACTTGAATTACGAAATGTAGAAATTAAAGCATTTTAAATTTGTATTGGTTGTTGTTTTGTTAACGTCCAGTTGAAAATTGTGTTACTATTGTTATTGTATTCAATATATTTTGGTAACTTCGGAATATACAGGGATTCATCACTTTTAGTTCATCCACCATTTATGCTCTCTTAATGTGTTCCCATAATATACATGCATGACACAAGCAAAACTATCATTTGAAAGCAATAGAATAGTTTAGAGTTAAACTTACTATTTCCGTATGTGTGATCGACATCAGGACCAGTTCGAGTGGACGGCGTATGTCCAGAATAAACTATCCAATTATCCGTGTCATTATTTTCATCCTGTGTCCAATCACACAATCCATTCTCAAAATCACATAAGTTTCGTCCTATGGTGAAATAAAATAAAAAGTTCTAATTATGGAATGTTCTCTATGACACCTGATTATCATATTGATCAAAACATTAAGGTTTCAAAGTTTGTTAAGCTGTCAGTAATAACATCGGGTCAAACTTATGCATCGGATTAGCCACATTATGATGTCGATCATTGACTTTACATGACCGTTATACGACATTTCTAAAGTGCTTAGCAGAATGATATGGACATAGGGAGATGCGGTAAACATAGACAAACTAAATATTGCAAAATATTACCTATTCTGCATATCATGAACATTTATTGCTCGTTCACTAATTGTGTTCACTCCCTTAAAAATTTTATATTTTCACTTACGGCTGATATTAAAAGCTTGCATCCTGACTCGCAGCTGATATTTTACAATACCTTTAAATGAAATTATGATAATCGAGTTGACAAGTCTGTTCAGACTTATTTTGAACAACTTGTCAAACATTTTGCATCAGTGATAGGTCCAGACAAATTCATTCATGTTTGACTTAAGAATGCCGCCATCCGGCAATTAGAGCAAAGCACGGTGATACAGGCGCAAGGAAAACCGACAATTTACGGAATTGACCTGCATAAAACCTGACTATTCGCGTAATCCAGTAAGGCCGAAAGTAATTTTGTCCATTAGTAAACGTTATCAGTCTTAATTCACTCGAAATCATATCCAGATGTTCTCACAAGTTAGGCTACCGTCTGCCTAATTTTCATGTTTTTATGTACTAGCATGATTCATTTGATATAAACTCATCATAGATACCAGGATTGAAATTTTGTATTTACGCCAGACGCGCGTTTCGTCTACAAAAGACTCGTCAGTGCTGGTAAATTATTAATCCAGCGATTTCGTTACAACAAATTATTTAAAGACTCTTCTTAATTCTTCCATAGATACAAAGATTTTGTTTGGCCGTAGACATCTTATTACGAGATATCACGTCCTTATTTTTACGGTGAATTTGCTTATAGAGTTCGTATTAAGATACAATCGACGTAAATTTATTGGTCAATCGAACATACGTATCCTTAAAGATTATAAATTAAGCATTATGCTAAGATCATAGGATATTGTCTTTACTGGTACTAACTTTATATCATTTTCAGTGGTGTAATACATAACTAAACATGTATTACTATTCAGGTATCAACGTTCATGGTCGTACATCCTGTCGCTACCGATTTTGACCTAAAATCAGTACACGCATGCACATGGATGAAAGAGAAAAAAGCAAAGGAAGCTCGATTTTGTAGCTGTTCTTCTTCTCAACGGACAAGTGAGGCCTTCAACATACTGCAAAAAACTCTCTTCTTACTACAAGATCCTAAGTACCGGTTTAAGCGGACTTGTTTGGTAGATATTATCGATCGCGATACAACTGTGCATTGAAGAATACATACAGCTGTGGGGTCACACTAACAAATTATAATTCTGGCAAAGAAGTCTAACAATAATTACTGTTATAAATGACTTATCTGCACAATCTTAACCGACCTGATTCAGTCAAAAGATATTTACCTGAAATGAAAACTTCAACGGTCTTTAATTTTCTTTCGCCATTCAGAGAGATGATACAAACATAAGTCCCAGAATCGGAAAACTTTGTCCTGTTAAACATGTACCTTTGTGTACCATTAAATGTATTACATACACCATCTTTAACAATAGAAAAGTTCATGTCTTGTGGTCCTTCTGCTGAACAATCTAAAACTCCAAAACCTCCCTCTGGGAGAGTAAGTGTAGTGTTGGTGGGGTCAGTAAAGTGAAACGTAGAACCTGGAAAGAAAAGTTATCCAGTCATTTATCTACTCTTATTTATAAAGGAATGTTTTTATTTGATTTAAAACTATACAGATAACCGGGTTTTTTATTTGTTGGAAAAACATGTGGGAAATGGAGAAGAAGGTAGATGTGGAATGTTTTTCTTTGGGTTTTTTGAACTTTTTAAAACATTACAATAAAGGATATACAAACAATATAGGTGTGGCTGAATAAGGCCATAAAATATAAGGACGTCATTAAAAAGATAATTTGCCAAATAATGGGAAAGGACTGACAAATTTAGGAGCATTTTGACTGGATTAACACAGAACACAAGTTTAGCTCAAAATAAGTTTTGTCGGCGAATAGATATGAGAGTTTTATAACTACACTGTACAAGACAGATTACGCAATTTACATAAACTTGGGCTTAGCTTTTTTGTAAATTGCAGTCAGTTCTGATATAAAGTCGACCTTTTGATTTATATGATAATTTGTATCCATTGTACCTCAATGCCCACATGGTAGACAGGGTATAAAGGTTTGAATGTTTTAAAGATATGAATTCAAATGTATATAGATTAATTTAATTATTTTCTCCTATATTGTAATTTTTCTTTGGAATCTCGGTGTTTGGACGATAGACAATTCTTCTTACTAAACTCTCGATATGTCCTCTCTTTTTCAATAGAACTTTGCTCATGATAAGATTCAATCTCGGTTCTAATAAAGCATAAGAAGTTGCTGGCAAGATAATGTCAACAAGGCATAACAAATACAGTACAAAAGATAAAGCATATGTTAACTGATATAACCAAACTGTATCTGAATCGAAATTACAAACGTTTTACTTACGTATGCAATCACATTGTGTGGTGGTATTTGCTGTATTTCCTCCTGGCCCTGTAATACCTGTTTGACCCTTGGATCCAAAGTTACCTAAACCGAAAAGAAACATTAACTTTAAGGGCATACGATACAGTTTTGATCCCACGGTGAGTTTTTGACGAAAGTTTGCATAGAAACTATTTTTCACCTAGTCAATTCAAAAATGTAATAAAAAATATACCGTCATGTGCTACTTTTAGAGATAAATGGGGTAGAAATTTTAGACATTTACTGGACATTTCGGTTTCTTTTAAATTTTTATCATTTGAAAGACAAACATAATTTTTTTGTTTTAAAAGACAAACGCAAGCGGATTTTTCTAAAAACATCTAGAATATCTTCTTTTTTACATAATCGTGTTTCGAATTTGTGTAACAATTCTTTGGAAATAATTCATTTTATCACATTTTCAGGATTTTAGTAAAAAAAAACGGCATTTGTGACTGTATATTTACCTAATTTAAAAAAATTTCATCGGTGATTTGTTCATAAAAACTGGCACAAATAATCTTCATACGTAATCCAGCCAAATGGCATTTTTAAAAAGAGGGGTCCATGAACTCGTTTTCAAGTAAAATCAGTCGAAAAATGGATCTTTCTCGATATGTCATAGTTTGACGTCGCGAAAAATAACATTTTACGTTAGCGACTCCATTACCTCCCCTGTTACTGATTAAATTAAGGGGAAAAACCATAGACAACTCTACAGTTCAGTGCAGATTATATCATTTTTCATCGTATTTCTTCTTCCTTAGTACTTAAATAGACTTGGTTCTCTTGTTGTATCATTCTTGTGTATGAAGTTGAGGGTTCAGATAATTGCCGGATTATACCAAAGATTTAAAAGGTGTTCACTACTTTTACGCAATGAACGTGATATAAAGATGTAAGAGCAAACAAAGACTTTTCGGCTAGCATTTCGACTGTATTACCCTACCCGACACTTTATTCTGATTGTGAGCGACCAACTTTTGCTGTTACTCCTAAATGCCTATTGCTAAGTGGAGAAAAAGACATTAACCCAATTTCCCCTCAAAAAGTAAAACGGTAGAAATGAACTCTTTCTTACTATATATCTTATGTACCATCACGCAACAAATTCGACTCGGTGTTCCGGTTGCACGTTAAGCAATCATCAATTACTAAATCAACCATTGGATCTTCTGAAGCAAGTTATATCTCAAGCACTAACTTTATCAGTTTTGCAAGTATATTTGCATTAGGTGTTTGTTACTAGTATTTACATTTATAAATAAATGTTATAGGTGAAATACAATGTTGTTCTAAACAGTTACATGTATATAATTATCAAAAATATTCATACCCTGGTCACCTTTAACTCCGGTTGACCCTTTCCTTCCAGGTGCACCTTTGTTCCCTTGAAATCCTTTTCCACCAGTGGACCCTATTTCTCCTTTCGGTCCCTGAATACCACTTTGACCGTTGTCACCAAAATTTCCAGAAGTTCCAACTTCTCCTTTGAGTCCTATATATCCATAATATCCAGTATCACCTTTTAAACCCTTTCTTCCAATGAGACCCTTTGAGCCTATGTTTCCTGGATAGCCTTTTGTTCCTTTTCCACCTGTTAATCCGTTTAGGCCTTGAACACCAAATTCACCTTTGAGGCCGATGACACCTTATGTTTGAAAATATGTACCATTAGAAGAAACACAACACATTTTGAATTATCTACAAAGTAGTGAGTCACATTTTCTTATTTTCATATTAACTTCAACGTCGACCTTTCACTAAGTATTTTTCCAGTACTGTAATCGGGAATAAACAACAGGTATCTTTATTTCTTTTTCAGAATTTGCGCTTTCTCACATGAGATTAATAATAATAATATCAAATATGAAATAAAGAAATAACCAGAAAATTGAAAAACATACCCTTTTCTCCAACAAGTCCATTTTCTCCTTTTGATCCTACAAAAATTGACCAAAATGATATTACTATTTTGAAAGAAACGAAAGATGCCGCTTCCTCTAATGCATCATTTCACTGTATTATTTACATACGAACAAAACATTAATTTAAAACCACATGCACTTAATTTTTACCGTATTTTGGTTATGTTTTCTTAAAATAGAAGACATTGTATGTCTGCTTTCTCTTTAATTTAAGATGGGAAAGGTCTAACGGTGCTTATCACCAAACGACACTCCCTCAAATAATTGTAATACCCAATGCATAGAACATTAACACCATCGTAACATATATGATGGATATTTTCTTCCCTATCTTGGAATGGCATACAACGTCTAAGATGCGATAAAATATGTATACATTTTCTACATCTACTGACAGTCGTAATTCAATGACGTCATTTTTCTGAAGCAGTGATAAATAAAAATTACAACCTCATGCGTGTTGCTTCGTCCTTTTTAATGCGTGTTGCTTCATCCTTTTTTAAAATCAGGATGAGCATAAACTTCATAGATCTTGAACTAAATATAAATGTTTTGTGTCATTTACATATTCATGAAGCTCTTGTAACGGCTCGAGAAGAAAGTATGTGCCTCGTTACCAAAAGATCTAAAATGATAATAATAGTCTCCGATATGATTGACGAAGCGGAAAGAGGCCAAACTCCTCTAGACTTCAACAGCTTTCGGGATTTGCCCAGTGATTGAGTGAAAAGGGAAATAGTCATACAACTTTTTATAATATAACTCCTTATTAATCTCTAGAATAAATATGCTGAAATTCGATTGTTAGCTGGGTTTTCCGAACAAAAATGCGTTTATTATTTTTTGTTAAGTACGACGGGCGAGCGCACGGCACCATCTGTTTATGTACAATATCTTGAGAACCGTTCAACCAATGTTTTTCAAATTTGTATCTGTTGTTACTAATGATAAAATGGAGTTAATGTTCGATTACAAATATTAGCCGGGATTTCTGTAATTTGGCAGCCTTGGTTTTAAATCAATCGATAAAATGCATATTTACGATGAGTATAACTGATAATGTTTGTAAAATGTTAAAAGGTAAGAAAAATATGTTTTCCAATCTCTTGGAAAATTTTACGGACGCCATCACGAGTTTTGTTGACCGTTATGAAATACTAGTATTTTCTGTTTCACAAATGACGACGGATATGTTCCGATAGTAGTAACCACAATCCCGTCCCCTTTTCTCCGAATGTGACCTACCGAATTAGACATAACAATTGGCTTGTACTAATATGAGCAACACGACGCATGTGAAGAAGGATGGGGTTCGTGTTGCTTTAGTTATATATGTTGTGTTTGTATACCGTTGTTTGTCTTTTGGTCTTCTTTATCTTCGCTAGCCAAGGGTTACGATCAGTCCCCTCCTTTCCACCCTTGGCGGATTAAGATAGAATTTCGGATCCACGAGGTAATGATTTTCATTGGTCGCAGTTATAACTGGCTACATCCAATCGAAAAGCGCCTATAAGATGATCACGTGTAAATGTAGAAAATGTAAATAAACAATTGCCACGTGCTGCTTGTGTAACAAATCTTAACCCCCGAAACATAGGACGATATTTAATAACAATTTTAAAGTTCTATATCAACTAATTGGAGTTCCTTGGTATGTTTTTTTGCGCAAATGTTGGAATGTCAACGTATATTTTCAGTTCCTGCTTCACAAAATTAGTGTACACTAAAAGCAATCATTTTTCCACCTCCACACTGAAGAGAGTTCAAGTGCTGCCATTGGTCAAAAATGATGCAGTCGGAATGGGCGTGACTCTTGTCTACCGATAGATGGCGCAGCATTATAATCACAAATGTTGGCTTAATCGCTCCTTCATCTGCCAAGGGTGGAGAGGATGGGACTGGATCGTAACCCTTGGCTAACGAAGATGGGTCTTCTTCGTTTTTTGCCATGGTGTCGTCAATTTATTTTCGAATTATGAGTTTGAATATCCCTTTGACATACATTTAATCAATCTCCGTTCCTTGATGAATCTTAGCTCTGTGACTCTATAGGGTCAGTTATATGGTTAATAAACCACTATTTAAAGAAATATTTTTTATCAAACATTTGTCAACGAATCCGTTATGTCTTCAGGTGATCAACAACTACGACACCCTTCATTATTTTACTCACAGAAACAGGGGTTGATGAAACGTTTGCTTTCAGGTTTAGTTAACGTTTGAAGATCATGTACAAGAATTACGGACATTTCAAGGCGAGATAACTCGTGTTACTTTTCTATTCTGGTTCCCATCTTGTTCTCATCGGCTGGTGACCAGTAGATAAGAATAGATAACTCCCCTAAACGAACACCCCGCCAATAGATGTCACTTTGACGTTATGCCTATAGGGTCATTTATGATATTAGCAGTTATACGATAATTCCGAACGCAGTTGGATTTAAGAAAGAAACCCCGCGTACACTATACACAGATGAATGATGAAGAAATTGCCGATAGGCAAGAAATAATTAAAAAAAGAAAAGTTTTGCATGCCCTATGATGTAGAAAGAATATTTTCTGTTAACGATGGTTCAAAAGAGATACGTTTACATGTTATTATATTTCCTATATTTATAATATATGTATATCTCTTGATCAATACTTTTTTTCTTTTTTTTTCTTAATCTAGTAAATTTTCTTATTGTATGAAATTTGTAACCCTGTTTATACTACACACGACCTTTTCGGAAGCTTTAAGATAGTCCAAATAATTTATCATCGGTGTTTCTGATTTTAACAAGTTCAATAAAAGACGCAGGCAAACTGATCTATCCTTGTTAATTTCTTTTTAATTGGGTTAGATGAAAATCAAATATACAAATCCTTTCAACATCAAGCAGGCTTGAGTATTATCTAGATTATGTTTTATATAAAAAAAAATAGCATTTAACTCTTCAATTTATGAATATGACGAATACATAATCTTTCAATCAGTTTAATTGAAGTGTGGAGCTGGCATGTCAGTTATTGCTGTAGTAGTCCTTTAGTTAATTTATCATGTATCATTGCCATTTTGCTTAGTGTCTTAAAAGACTTTTGTTATCTATTCTGACATCGGACTCGGACTTCTTTTAAACTCAGTTTTACTGTGCGTATTGCTGTGTTTTGTTTATTCTACAATAGTAACATAGGCTAGAGGTATAGAGGGAGGGTTGAAATCTCATAAAACATATAAATAAAAGCTACAGAAGGCAATATCATAAATATGACAAGATGTACATTTTTTTTACTGTCAATTTTAGATTTTATTTGATATGGGTAGGTCACATGTATTCGACATTGACATTGTATAAGCCAGATGTATACTCCATGCTGAATTGAATTTGATCTAGGTAACACGTAAACTCATTAACACCTGTGGATTAATTTGTAATATTTTCCTGTCCTCTAGGAACATAAAACATAATTCACTACCCTTAATTAGACATAGATATCAGTAAATAAAACCGCAGACTTTCTCCTTAAAGTTTAGTGGTTTGTACATATATTGAAGGTGTGCATGTGGTCAGGGTTTAATATTTGCTCTTTTGGGAGACAGTTGAAGTTATTTTAAAATAACACTTTGCATCTGCGGGGGCATCATTTGTTTCTCCCAGACACAATTAAATCTCAGATAAAGTTCTACATTATCTTTGTTATGATACAGTTACTTCAGAGTGAAGTGCGGGGCATCACTTTGTCTAGTTAATTTTATAATTATTTTTTTGTTGTAATTAATCTTATTTGAAAATATTCGTTCATATTTCAGCCTATCTCAATTTTTTTTTTTACTTTATAAAATTAGTTTATATGTGTTAGAAACTATATTCTTATGACTGTGTAGAATACTCTAAAACATTTAAACATAAGAATAGAGGGCAAAATACATAAATTATTATTGTTAAATCGCATTGATAAGAGTTTGAACACTTAAGACAAGGTAAAAAAGTTGATGTGAAAAGACTATTTTCAAATTATAAATTAACTGCAAAAAATAAAAAAGGGGGTCTCCCAACAATCTCTTTTGCATGGACTACTATATTTTCAATATAATACTTCAATGATAAGATAAAATAGTAACATATGGTATTGAATAGTGATACCGCACCGGAAAGGATTTGCCGTTGCACCATGGGACGCTTAAACAATATACTATGTAAATATTGACACATTCGTGTTTATATGTTAGCTGAGATCGATAATTATGGAGCTTTTCTTAAAAAGGACTTCGATGTTTTTCGTCATTTGTATTATTAAACGACATTTTATGAATATACTAAACAAGGATTTGTATAGTACTATACAAATCCTTGTACTAAACAATAAGATTAATAAAGATAGCATATCCTAACAATGGGGTCAACAATGATTTTGATGCTATGATATCTTACTGTATACATTCAAAATACTTGCATTTACTTCTCTGATTATTTCTTATAATGATGAGAATAATATTCCCTATACCTTTTCATTATACAAAACTTGTATAAAATTTTGTATGTTTTGAATAACATTAAAAATTGCACGTTGTCATCTTTTCTATTTCAATTTAGTTTTTCAGATTTCGTAGACATTTTTTTTCAATAATACAATCATGCAATTGTGTATTCAAATTTTTGATAATAATAATATAATTACTCAAATCAAAATAAGATTAATTAGACAGAGCCTTTAAAAAAAACGAAAAACAAAACCAACACTTTTTGCATATTTTTCTTTAAGATGTCAACAAAACCACACTACTTTTAAAATTTTGATGTTTAAAGAACTCTTTGGTATAATAGAAATTAATATATTGTTTAAAACCTAACTAGATATTTAAAATGATGGATGTAATTAGAAAAGAAGTTCACATCATAAAAATGAGAATTCAACTAAATAACAAGACCAATTTGTCTTTGAATACGGTCAATCTTAGTTGAATGAATATACATCGTATTCATAAATAATGAAGTTTCACTTTCAAATGCTTAGGGACAACAGTAAACATTATTTTAAAATGACGATTCTTATACCAGTTGATAGGAAAATTATTTGCCAATACTGTATAATTTGTTAATTTTATTTACAATAAAAAATGAATTTAATATGATTTTTTATAAAATATGTATACCTCGTAATTTAACATATCTCAACCAAAAGAGAACCCGACGTTTAACATGATAGGGACACCAGTAAATATAAAGATAAATTGGATTTTATTACACCATTTCAAAGCTAAAAAAAATGGTGAGATCTCTATAACTTATTAATTTTATATGAGATTTATAAAATAGACATAGTATTCGTTTATTTAGCTAGTGGTCATAATTCCCCATAGACAATAACGTTAAAAAAATTTCAATGATTACGGTTCTCTGTGTGGTAGCTGATAAAGCTATCCAGCTGAGCTGTCCGCAATTCTTGTGTATGGTTTATGTTTTAATTCAATGATTATCTTTGACCATAACAAAAGCACTAATTGAAACTTTCTATTAACTTTTTTATATACATAGTTATAATATTATACCTCGCAGGCAAATCTTAGTGTCATTGGCACATGTCTTCTCCAATAAGGTTTCCTGGATAATATAATACTGCTTTTTAAAATTTCAATAGTCACATTATGGATAACGATGGTGTTGTGAATAAGATGAAGGTCTCTTTATTTTTAAGGATTTATCCATGTTGATTTTAGCTTTCTTATGTTGAGATGAATATTAAAAAGAGTTTAACTTTAACAGAATTTTGATTTTTGAGGTTAATGTTTTAGAAAAATTTTGAAATTTATTATTTGAGTTTGATATTAATATTCTGTCAACTGCTATTGTAACTATCAATATAAAACATAATAAAATCTTTCAAAAGTAGTCAGTATTTACCTCTTTTTGTATTGTACTCTGAACACCATTCAATGTCTGCCTTCGTGAAAACACATGAGTGACATTATTGTCATTAGCTGTTTTCGCTGAACCAACAAGTGTACTCAAAATTTTGTGAAGATCATTTATCTATAATAGAGAATACACAACATGTAGCTATATAACCGGAAAGTGAGAGGAATGAAAATGATCGTGTTTTTAAACATTTTGAACTTTTTGAATTTGCGTCAACATATTTGTTATAATCATTACCTTAGCACAAACGTCGAGCTGAGATAATTAAGATCAGCAAATAGAGTGGGTTTGGTTTTGTTGATCTTTGTAATTAATAGAATACTATTGGTGATAATGGCAATTCGTCCCGTAATGCTATTCAATACTAATTTTATTTTCTGTTATTTTTATTGAAATAATTTACTCTAGGGAAACCATGTTCATTGAGACTGCAACACTTTTTATATACATTTACATACAAATTTTTAGCATTAAGTGAAAAATGTTGGAAATTTTTTCATTCGTAAAGCCTGGTGATCATAATGAAATGACTACATTCGTAGAAAACTTTGTAGCTGTTAAACCACAATTTTCGTGTTATATTTTATTTCTTAAGTTAAGTGATTTATTTTTAAATTCACGTATTCTGTTGTCAAATACTATACAATTTATGTTAAACAAGAATGATTCCATAGTACACGGATGCCCCACTCGCACTATCATTTTCTATGTTCAGTGGACTGTGAAATTGGGGTCAAAACTCTAATTTGGTATAAGATTTAGAAAGATCATATCATAGGGAACATGTGTACTAAGTTTCAAGTTGATTGGACTTCAACTTCATCAAAAACTACCTTGACCAAAAACATTTACCTGAAGCGGGACAGACGGACGAACGGACACACAGACCGAAAAACATAATGCCCTTCAACTATCGTAGATGGAGCATAAACACGTAGAATTTGCAAGCTTGTATTATATAACGAAACGGCTACTTTGAAGTATTTTTTCTTCGCTTACTTGCAAACAGCTTAAGTTATATATATGGACTATACGTTATCAGTATTAAATGGCGAAAGTGGACATATTTGTTCTTAGATGCACTTACTTTACCTTAAATTTACAATTCGTAGATATATTGTGAATGATTTCACGTTTTGTCTCCAATTTTCTCTGCAGTATTTCTCTTTTATGATCCTCGTGTAATGATATGACAACAAATGCTATGAGCTGAGCAATAAATATTGAAACGAGAATCGTTAGATTTAGTGAATGTCTTTTACACTTGGTATCCATGTCTAGTTTCACATGTAGTTGATTATATAATTTCTTATCATATTTCTATATTTAAAAATTTGTAGTGATTATAGTAAAGATCCTACCTATAAGAATTATATATACCTTTACTTTGACCTATAATGGTTTACTTTTATAAATTTTGACTTGGATGGAGAGTTGTCTCATTGGCACTCATACCACATCTTCTTATATCTCTTTACAATATAATTTGAAATGTCAATCTGACAAGTTTCAAAATTCAGATGATTTTGTATGACTGTCCATGAGACAACTGTCGACGACAATTAATTAACAAGTGGATATCTACGTATTTCTTTTGAAATCATTTTGAATTAAGGAATATATCTCCCTCATGAAAAGCTCTGATTCCATGTCCGGATTTGGCTATACTTTAGGTCCTCTTTGGTTTGATCAGCTCGTCCAACGTTTTTATTAGGTTTTTGATTTTCAAATATTTTGGCCTCGAGCATCACTGAAGAGACATAAATTGTCAAAATGCGCATCTGGCGCATAAAAATTGGTACCGTTAATGTTATTTAAATCTACAGGATACCATTCGGGACGGGAAAATAGACAGAAATTCGCTCCGTGAGGTAAACCATTACAATACTTGTACGAAATCAAATGTGAAAATTTTTGACTTGACAACAGCGGCATAATTTGTCAATTAATTTGTAGCGGTGTCACTATATTTGTGAGTGTCACGGTTCTCCATTTACTGTAATCCTTGGTGTAACAGCTGCTAGAACTACAACTTATCAAATGAATTTACGAGAGCAACCATTTTGGATAACTTTCAGAAGGAAGAATTCCCCAGGGCTTACTTATAATAGGTCAAATCATCTTTTTTTATACTTTAGATCAGATGTTTCTTCTGAAATTGCAAATGGTTTTATTGGGTCAAATCGAAATGTAAATTTATCAAAGTTTGATAGCTTCCAATTACGTTGTTTTCTTCAAACTCAAGTTATAAAAGTCTTGAGATTTAAAAACATAGCCATCTCCCCTTGGATTAAAAAAATGTTAGGTATACGACAATAACAAATCTATTCAATTTGAAACCAACATCTGTTATTTTGCTACCAGAACACAACTTCATTTTGCGCGCATTGACACTGCGCGAACAGCTAAATAACCAAAACCATTACAATTGTGATTAAAACTAACATAAAAGTAAATTGGATTATTTTGCAGCCGGTTAAAATATTCTTTGAAATGTGAAATCGCATTGTTTTAATTATACGAGCGATTTAAATAAAAAGAAGATGCATGCGTTGTCGTGATAAGCATTACCTATTCGTTTGTCAAAGTATCAGGGGGAGGGGAGTGGTAGGCGTAGCTCCAATGCAGATATGAAGTCAATCTGTTCAGTAGTACAAAAGAAATCCGGGAAACATATAAAGTTCATTCAACATATTTAATAATTAGAGTTTCGACAATAAATGATGCTCATCAAAAGTCTAGCTGCAGACCAAATATGAAGTCATTGTGTTCAGTAGTACTGGACAAATGTGTGACGAAAGTTCATTCAACATAATGAAAATTTCAAAATATCAGATAACAGAACCTTATTGTCTTAGAGATCGAAAAAAAGCTCACAAAGAACGTCTCGTCCTTTTTCTAAAAAAGTTCATTGCAAGATACCAAGATCTTGTTGATAAATATTCCGTATCAACTCCACAAATAATACATGATGGTCTTTAAGTATAGATTCTAGGTACTGACGTTGTTTATCATCTTAATTACGTGTTAAAGTGTTCTTGTATTTGTCTTTGTAAATTAATAACCTTTACTGTTTATAGTCCATTTTTGGTAATATCCTTTTGGCGTGGCTCGGTACGTATGCATCCCGCCAATGTGTTGTTGTGCTGCGGTCATTATTTTGTATTCTTGTCTTTCATTTTTGCTTTTCTGCTGTCTATATGTCATTTTATTTTTCTTTGTTGACATAGTTGGTTTTTTTTATAGTGATTAAGATTATAACACAATACTGACTGCTGGATCCCTATTTTTGACATTTTTACCTTTTGTGTGTTTGTTTTGTTCACACATTGTTGACAATATAATGGAATTGTATGCGACTGTCATATAAGTGAGAGGTTTAGCTAGCTATAAAACCAGGTTTAATCCACCATTTTCTACATAAGGAGATGCCTGTACCAAGTCAGGAATATGACAGTTATTTTCCATTCGTTTGATGTGTTTGAGCTTTTGATTTTGCCATTTTTTAAAGAACTTTCCGATTTGAACTTTCCTTGTTCGGTATTTTTGTTATTCTTCTTTTTCACACGCTACAAATCCACGTGTCAAGTTGGTTACCAAATATGCAATCATTCCGCTCAGTAGTATTTGTGACAAAACCATTTGTTTGACAAACGGATGAACGGGCTGATGGGAAAACGAACAAGTTGGTTGCAACATAGCCACCACTACCTGCATGAGAGTAAAAACATGCCCAGTTATTGCGTGTTCTGTCTAAGATCCTATTCAATAAAGCTCATATCATACTAGTGTGCTGTATCAAATCTCTCTCGGCATTATTCAAAAACATTTCACAAAAATTCTTACGATTAAAATAGATCGTCAGTTATACTGAAATGTACATGACTTATGGGTGTTTTTTTAGTCATAAGATTTTTTATGAAAAAGTCTCTGTATTTAAAGTAAATCCCCCTAAAAACAAAAAAAAACAAACAAACAAAAAACACCTGGAATTAATCAATGGTGACAAAATTTTAAAATGTATAAATGACTACCTAGTCTAGTAAACCTTGTTCATGATATATAAAAAATGGTCCACAACATCACAATGTTATCAACTGTGAAATAAAGTAATTTTGAAGGAATGTATAATACTCTTTAATGGAACAATGCTTGGAAATTTGTTTTTTGATATTTCATTTCTAAATTATTTATTAAAAGTATTTTACATTATTGACAACGTTTCGTATTTTGTTTCGCTTATCAGTAATGCAAGTCTTTTAACACGTTCCGGTTGTAATACTGACGTCATCAATGGCTAAATCACTGTAAAAGCTTGTACCAACAACACCAGATAAAATGATCTTGAAGTCTGAATTAGAAACTGGTATATTGACTTGCTGTTTATGCCACGTCGCCCCATGGTCATCTCGGATTGTAAAGAGAAGAGTTCTTGTGGAAGATCTGACGCCACTCTAAGAAAACAATTACAAACTTTAAGGCAGATTTTAAAGAAAAGTCTAAGGAAATCATCTATATTTTTTTATTATTGATCCTCACTGTTACATCTATTTGTCATCTAAATGCATGTTGTCTGTAATTATAATGACCGCATTGTTTGCAAGTTGTATGCTCGTGTAATGGATTTTAACTTGGTTCGTGCCTAAAAAGGTATTATCAGATATGCTCCTAATACTTCCAATAAATTCTTAAATTAAAATGTTCTTGTCTGAATTCAGCACATTGAAAATAGCATGGTGTAGTTTAAAATGTGAAGTTAAGTCCCTACTCTTGTAGAAACAATAATTGCACCCATTCAAATGACGTGTTTAACATTTTTTTAATTAATGGTCGTATTTTATTTCTGATGTCGCCATTTCTACCTTAAATATGCCATATTTTACTTTTCGTGCAAGCTCAAAATTAGAAAACACGTAACAAGAATTTCAACCTATATGCAAATCTTTATGCGATTTCTTAAACAGATTTATTCTGTGGTTGAAAATTCAAATATCAATTTAAAAAATAAATAAAATCCATTTGTTAATGGTTCGTACAACTTTACCTGTGCTGCTATTCCCGAAGTTAAACTAGACTGTGGTGGCAGGTAGGCTCGTTTACCCGAAGGCACAACCTGAAATACGTTGAAATTTTCATAGTTCTCTTACGTCTCTAAATGAAAATTCGAATCTTTCAGTGAATCTTAAAACATTCTTATTACACATCCTTAACTTTCAAATTTCTAAGCATGAGCATTCCTGATGAAGGTAAATCCAGAAAAACTGCGAAATTTCCAAATTTGTCAAGTGTCATTTTCATCTTTATTGCCATACGCATAAAGGGCGAGGGATCATCACTTAAGTTGTGCCGATCGCTCCTACTAACTAGAACAACTGAAGCCAAATACCAGTGTGACTAAAAACTATTTAGATTGCAAGTCGAGAAAACTAGCCTTGCAGTGGAGTATGGACTTAATTCTTTATTTAAGTCTAAGGTAAATACGGATAAATATAAAAGGATCTGGAGTATATGTTGAAGCCAAACCAGATACAACTGGAGATCATAAAAAGTGTCTACACTATAAGTCAAAATCAAAATCGTTCCAGGTTTAAAAAATGTGAATAAATTCAACAATACAACAGAGACTGCCAATAAAGGAAAATTATGAAAGAGGATTTGACTGAGTCAACCGAGTCGTGCATTCCATACTTGTATTTCATTGTCAAGCAATAATTAAATTTTACAAAAGAGAGGCAAAAGATACCAAAGGGATACTCTAACTCATAAGTCCCAAACAAACTGAAAACGCCATTGCAAAAAAAGAAAAAGACCAAGAGACCTACCGAATTAGATTTATCACATTTGTACAGAAAACACAACATAGGTCTTGTGAAGAAGATTTTGAAGATACTGTTGAATAGAATATTATCTTTAAAAAAAAAAAAAAAAAAAAAAAATTCTGTATCATATTTTGTCAATATATCATTATTTGAATTGTCTTCAGCTAAAAAAATAAATATATATAGAGAGAGAGAGAGATAGAGAGATGCGCTTGATCGAATTTGATCGAAAAACGCTGGCAGGTCCAAACCCCGTATCATCCCAAATTTGTCCGTCGATAAACACGGTTAAAAGTTCAAATGAAAACATTCACTAGATATATTTTCTGCTTTGATTGTGTTAGTTTAATGCTTGCTAAACATCAACACTTGAAATAAGTAAATACTGTAAGTTATTTTGTGCTGCGAAATAGTTATGCACAAGGAAAGCTTATATCCTATGTCTTCCTTACGCGCACGGCGTAGAAATTCAACAAATGACTTTTTCTTAAAGCATTTGGAATATTTTGTTCTTCAAAGAAATAACAAATAACAAGTGTATCATGAAAAATCATTAAACACTTGTTATTTCTTAAAGCATTTGGAATATTTTGTTCTTCAAAGAAATAACAAGTGTTTAATGATTTTTCATGATATGCCGATAGGCTGCTAATAGGACAATGACAGAAAATTAAAAAAACATACTTATATTCGATCAGGAAAATGTAAAACATTTACCTCCTTATATATATTAAGAGCTCCCATTGTTGCGCCTAACATATTATAATAAAATGTTATACAGTATTGAATGCCACCTGTCAAAGTGGTTGATTCTAGTTCAGCTTTGTCATCTTTCGTTCTCGGACTTGATGACTCGATGTATAAGTAATGCCCATTACCTGCAAAAGCAAGGTTTATCGTGAACAAAATTTACCATCACCGCTCTCATCGTGAACAAAATTTACCATCACTGCTCTTATTGTGAACAAAGTTTACCATCACCGCTCTTATCGTGAACAAAATTTACCAGCACCGCTTTTAAGAGTTGACATAATGTTTTTAATATACCATAGTTCTAATGATTTTTTCTCTTGGTACATTTAAGGTATTAAATGAAAATATGATATATAGTTGTTGGAAATATTGATCCCATGTCATTTTTAGTGTTTATATTAATATACTAACTAACTGTTTGAAAGTACATATATGCATACTTAAATAATACTGAAAACACACAAAAAACCTTGACTTGATGGAGATATATGGTAATGTCTAGAAAATCTTTTTTGACATGGTTGCAAAGTAGATTTTATTTTGAACCGCGTCATTAGTTTCATGGTTGTGTGTTCGACGACTCGAGAGCGGGAGTTCGTGGGTTTGAAACTTGTAAACCTCTTCGTGGCATTTATGGGTAAGAGCACAGATTGGTTTGCTCTGAGTCAGAAAAATGTGTGCGGGTACGGTGAAATTTCTTCTTGTGGACTGTTACAATATGAATTATTATGTTGAAAAGCCAACTTAGTGTGTGTTAGTCTATTACAAAGCAGGATACATATTAATATCACATTCACATTTTCTCGTCCTGATATGATGCAATAATTAGTTATCAAAGGTACCAGGATAATAATTTAATACGCCAGACGCGCGTTTCGTCTACATAAGACTCATCAGTGACGCTCATTGTAATTGTCACTGGACGTTCCTTTTTGGTTTATCTGCTCTTCATTTTTTTCAATAAATTTTTGTTTTTTATAGATATTATGGCCTCGAGCATCACTGAAGAGAAGGTTATTGTCGAAATGCACACCTGGTGTAATAAAATTGGAACCGTCTATGTTATTATTCATACATATATAATTGTTACAGCGCCTTGAATTTTATTATCAAAGAAATCATTAGATGGATTTGGTATCATCTGCAGTTATCACTACACACAGGCAGATGTCGTAATTTAAGATGGATAATGCCAAACTTTGATTTTGTATTTTTTATTTTTGCCAGGTGTTCCTTATATATTATCCAAGTTATTGCTTCAAGGCGTTTATTTACCATGTGTTCATGTAAAAAAGCGCGACCAATCTGTCTTGAATGAATGTGTTGAATATATAATGGCCGCTGACTGATACATAATTTAAGTTCTTATTGTAGTGTGTTGGTTCCGGTGTTTGTTACATACAAAGTGTCAAGTATATTTTGCAATCATTACTTATCTATAACATTTCTTATTTGAAGTAATGCATAGTGCATGGATATTTCATTATTTCTACATACCCGTTGTGTGATCGTTATTAGGTCCAGTTGCTGAAGAATCAGTTGAGCCTGAATGCCGTGTCCAGTCAAATTCATCTGTCGTTAATTGATGCCATTGGCAAATATCTATTTCAAAGTTACAGGAACGGACTAATAAAAAATAAGAATGAAAACATAATGTGTTTCGTAAGCTCAGGTGTCCTATGTTTGTTATGTTTTACTCACGTCTTTTAAACGTCTTAAAGTTCTTCGACTGCGTTATATAATGTTAACTTATTCCGTAACTGTGATCCTAATTCTATTACTTCCCGCTTTTACTTTTTCTCAATTTTTATGCAAAATTAGGAATAACGATACATGTACTTTGTATTTGGAAATGGGAAAACAACTAAAAACGTCTCAAATTCACGCATATCCACGTGCTTTAGAAATCTAGTTGACATTGTCTCAATGGCAATCCGGTACCACATCTCCTTATCTTTATATCAGTGTGAATTAAACTGAGAGATGTGACGGAAACTGCAACTTGCAGACACATATTTCTCTAGATAGATTCATATAAATATTGTCATACGGTCATTACAAATCCACCAAAATTATATGTAGACCTGACGATGACCAGGGGTATAAAAAAGTTGTGCATTATTTTTAAAAGCAAAACATGGAAAATTGCATCAACAAACAATTTCTTATAATATAAAAAAGCATACAGACAAATCGCAACTGTTGGTGTTATTTTTCACTTTTGACTGATAAGGATATAATACTTACTAATCTCTCTTTTCACGATCATTTAAAAGCAAATGACATAATTTAAAAAAAAAATGCATATTCAGTCTTGAAATATTGGTTTTGTAACCAAATCATAATTTACCCAACATTACAGATGTAAGGAGTTGATAACAAAAGTTTACTACAATATCTGCCAGTAAGTGAATCCTTCTATGGTGAGGATAAGAAGGACGCCCATTAAATTTGCTGACTTTTTTTTATTATCGTCAAACCCTTAATGAGAAACCGTTGTATTATTCGCACATTTACTGATTTCAGCAAGTCAACACTACTATGATTGAGTGTAGATTCGCATGCCGGATAATGCCTGCATAAAAGGAGACGTTTTTCCTTTCAACGCACAAGGTTTATCTCTCTTTGGAGTTAATGCGATTCCCTCCAGATTATTTTTTTATATCTTACTTTGTGTATTGTAAACGGATTTACGAGATTTAAACATCGGTATGCTAATGTTACTTTAACTTATTTGGAAGAAGAACATACATAATCAGTGGTGGAGCTAGATTCTGCGTGAATTTCACGTAGAAGAGAACGACAGTGAGTCTCGCGGTCGCTTTTGACCCCATCATGTACAGGGCAGCATCCTGGTAGGGGGGTTCTAGGAGTGCGAAGCCGCCCGTATTCTACGAGAATGTAGCAAATATAGAGATCAATTTTGATGTTGGAAAATGTTTCACAACAGTTCCTCTGTAATGTCTCTATTTATTTATAGTTTTACGTAAGAACAAGGTAAAATTATATCTCGATAAACGAACAAAATACCTTAAATGATTCATCCACGGCAACTTTTTTTTTCAATCCAGTCTAATGCCACGCTGGTAATTTGACTACTGAGTATACTATATATTTGTATTAAAATGCAGTAAAATAAGCCTGCGAATCTTATTCGTCAATTTTGAGAAAATTAAGAAACTAATTTCAAATATGTCTTGCCCCATACCATGTTATTTCTTTTTATCTGCCAAATGAATAAAATCAAATTAAACAAACAATCAAACAAACAAAATGTGAATTGTTTTTATCAAATTCGTTTATAAATGTCACTTTCTGAAAAAATGGTACATTTTACGACAACAAGAGTTGTGTTCAAACAACGTTTACTCGAAGACGATAATGTGATAAAAATATGTGTCAATCATGGTTAATAGATATAGAAATCAAGTTGTTTGAGCAAAAAGAGCTACTCATAAAAAGAATGCGGATTTACACTGTTGCTCCTTTAGGTTATCATTTCCTGTACCATTGCGATTCCCGTCCTGCTGCTCGGGGCAAGACAAAACAAATGATAAGACACATTCGGCGATATATCATAAATAATGAATGGAAGATGATATTTGTTGGCGTCTGTAAAATTTTGGAAGATTTGTCTTCAACTTATTCATTAGGAATTTTTTGGCAAATAGCTTCCTTGTATGAAGTAACCGCCTGAAAAGGAACTGTGATATGACACGAAATAGATATAAGAAGATGTGGTATGAGTGCCAATGAGACAACTCTCCATCCAAGTCACAATTGGTAAAAGTAAACCATTATAGGTCAAAGTACGGCCTTCAACACGGAGCCTTGGCTCACACCGAACAGCAAGCTATAAAGGGCCCCAAAAATGACTAGTGTTAAACCATTCAAACAGGAAAACCAACGGTCTAATCCATATAAAAAACGAGAAGCGAGAAAAACTCATGAACCACATCAACAAACGACAACCAATGAACATCAGGTTCCTGACTTAGGACAGGTGCAAACAAATGCAGTAGGGTTTAAACGTTTTAATAGGCCCCAACCTTCACCCTACCTGAAACAATAGTGTAACATCACAACATAGAAAGACACACTATAAAATATCAATTGAAATGGCTTAACTCAATCAAAAGACATATCAACAAAAACAAGTGAACATACACTGAACGAATAAAATTGATCTATGACACAATGTAAATACAAAATTAATAAAACAAGGGGGTTAGATGTAAAACAATATCAGAAAGACAACCATAACCTTGGACAAAATACCGCCAAATAAAATAACGTACACAAATAATTAAAAATTATTGTGTTATAAGGTATACATGGAGTACGGTTTTCTATGTATTGTGTGCGATTTTGTCCCATGTACATTTTCTCCATATCCTTTCATTTTCTATCTACGGAAATGATTTTTACAAAATAAATAATTTTGTTATTCCTAGTATGAGAACACAATTGAAAATTTATCGTCATACTAAACACTTATCAAAGGTGGTATATATTAAAAATAGTGAGATAGATATAACACTGAATGAGTAAACATTAAATAACAAAAATACATTACAAATTGTATCAACAGATCAAATTAACACGAAGTACGATTTAAGAGTACTCGCAGTTACTGAAAGCTAGTTAAAAGCCAAAAACAATTAATAATAAAAAATCATGCATCAGAGACTAAAATCAACTAAAACACCTCCCATGGATAAAGTATTTTAACGTCATGGACAGTCAAAGAAGACATGACTTGTACAATGCCATAATAAAAGTATCGACAGGCAGTAGGATAGTTAGGAGTTAACCTGTTAATAAATATGTATAATGTAATATATAGATAGAGTAATCTCTAATAGAAAATGAACGTGTATGTGTATTTATACATCCCAAAAAACCGTTTGAAAAGAATACAAATTTAGTTATGTTTTTTAATTTGCTGATGACAAAGTTAAAAAGTTAAATAATAGTATTCCAAGCATTCTAGTTTGTTTCGTCTTCCATAAAGACCGTGGAAGCGAGACATAGCCACCTTGCATCCTGTCTTTGGCGTCGTGCAGTATGTGGTTACATTTTACAGATCAAAAACTTTTTTGTTTTTTGTTAACCTTCATGGAGTTTAACAAAACTTGGAAAGAAACTTTGTTATGATTAAAAATAGTATCATAGCATATTTTACTGTAGATTTTCTTTTTGGGTTGTTGCATTTAACATTTAGAAAGGTTTAAGTTTTTCAAACATCAAAAAACATCGTTGGGTCATGTGTATCAACAGTATCATATGTAATATCTTATGAAATAGAATATGCAGTATAAAACAATTGATTCTTTTCGTTTTCTTCATTACTCAAATTGTATTGCTTCGATGTCAGATGCGTCCCTGATCAGCTTTCGCCTTCTCACAATCGTTTTATGAGGATATTTATTTATTACAATGCTGTGTCAGCTTATACAATCAGGTAAACCATTACTAGAACAATGCAGAACAATACTACAGGTACCTACCAACAGTTTTACTACTGTAACAGGTACAATTACCAGCATACGGAAATATTTTAACGTCATCTATAGCAATATCACTGGCATAAGTAGAGCCTCTTTCTGACTCTATATACATTTGATAGTCCTGTGATAGAACAGGTGTTTTTATACATGCATCAAGCCAGTTTACACCTTGATTTCCTGCAGCAGACCAGATTTTACGGCGCACTGTGCTTTTGCACTCCTGAAATATTTTGTTTGAATTAAATAATATATAAACAAAAATTCAACAGTTTTTTTCTGTCTATAATTGTTAGGTCAATCTTGCAATCTTCAATCATATGGAAAACTTGCTAATGAAATACATTGTTAATGACGACATTTCACTTATTTTTCTGATCAGGAGAGGCAATTTATTTAGAAATTGATGGAGAAGTCAAACAGATTCGATTGTTTTCCTATTCAATGCAATCTAATATTTCAAGTAAAAATATAATTCTTAATATTTTTGGAGCCAAATATGACACGATTTAGTGAATGTTGTCACCATCATTTCACTTTTTGAGGGATATATGTTTTCGTTTACAAATTCAACGTAAAAGTGGCGAGCTCTTCTAATAGTGCACACAGAATGACACATGCAGTCAAATAACAGTATCTACAAAAAATTTCAATTTTGATATCATTTATCTTTACCAAAAGGACGCCATGAAGATTCTTATGTTTACTTTTCCATTTTTTCGCAAGACAGCATATGTTCATACACTGTGTAATGATGTAGATACAATTCAATATAAAGATAAGAAGATGTGGTATGATTGCCAATGAGACAACTCTCCACCACATACCCAAATAACGTAGTAGAAGTTAACAACTATAGGTCACCGTACGGCCTTCAATATGTCTTTTTGTCGAATATCAAAGAACTGTTTCTTGGCTTTTTGAATTTAATATGAGCTTATTTAAGTATAAATATTTTACATGCACATTTTGCGTCGTACTCCTATTATGGCATTGTATATAGTATTGTGGTTGCAGGCTTACTAAAATTGACATTTTAGTCATAAAACATTGAGATACAAAAAAAGAAAAGAAATTATATTGAAACATAAAGAGCAACACGAACACGAAATCGCTTCTTAATTTGGTGTTGCATATATCATATTTCTTGTTTTATTAAACTGTTATTTTAGAATACAAATATTCAATCAAGGAACTTTTCGCTTGTTTATTATTATTTTGTTTTGGTATCGGTCTTTGAATCTGTAGAATCTGTTCAATTTCTTTATTTCTCGCATGTACATGTGTGTGTTCTTTTGCAATAAAGAAAACAAATGAGTAAAAAAAAATTGAACAAATAACGAACATTTTTTTCACACATATTCGAGGGCCAGCGATGAGTCTTACGTAGACAAAATGCGTGTCTGGAGTACCAAATAATAAGCTTGATATCTTTGATGAGGTTTTTTTTCTAAACTCATTTTAGAAATGAATCATGACAAAAGTGTTTTACCAAACTAAGAAGCGAAACAATAATCTTTCTGAACACCTACAACCACCACAGGTACGTGTCTCTGAAATTTTTTTTACCTAATATTAAAGTATATAGGTATTTTTTTTCAGCGACACGTGTTTGTGAGAATCACCCCAGAATGTCTGTTACAACAATAATATATTGTTGAACAATTTGACCTTGAAATCTCAATAGTCCTCTATCCTCTATATTTCAGAACGGGCTTTTGGTTGGATATTAAACTACTTGAATATTCATCATCTTCTTTACATAAAATATTTTTTGTTTTTAGTTTTCCTAACTTTTGCAATCGGGTTAACAATTAAAGACATGACGTACATGTATCGTGAAACTTTTGTCTTTATTACCTTTCCTTGGTCGATACCACTGTTCTCAAAGACTCATAATCTATCATTATTTGTTGGCAATGCACGATTGATTAATATATTTTAAATTACATCACCTTAGCGCAAAAAGCTACTTCTTTGCAAGATCTTATTTGTATACTTGTAACGTCGTCACTGCACGATTAAAAAGAAAAGCCTATACTGAAAGATGTTTCTCCAGAAAAACGTATCATTGGCAGAGAAAACATTTTCTTTTCAACCCAAACTTACATTTTAGTTAAATATTCAGATCAACATATTCACAATATTCCCTTACTGTACAATCTGTACTTTTTTACATTAAATTTCAAACCACACAATTAATTAACATAATGCATACAACGATTAAACTTCATCTTTTTAACAATTATTTGCGACTTTTGCTTATTTACATAATAATTTATTACCTTTGTATAAACGTTAAGTGCCCCCATACTGATTCCATTCATATGGTAGGCCATCGAGAGACAATAGGGTCCGGTGGATAACATGGGTGACCTGAGAACTGCAGTGTCATGTTGACTCTTACCCGAAGCCTCAAGATACAAGTAGTGTCCTCTTGCTGAAATTTTACAGAATCGCGACAGTGACATTTCTGCATTAAAGTAAACCTTTAAAATCCTTGCCTTTTCTGAAGTTTCTACTAAGCAATGCCTTACAAACATTTGTTTGTTGTTTCAATGTTTTTATTCTAATAGCTTATTTTTTAAATATCTCAACAGAAATCTATATTCTTAATTACACTATATATTCTTGCTTTTTAAAAATTTAAATCAATTCACAATATATTTTCCTAAAAGTAAGTTATGCAGGCGCAGATAAAATGGTCAGTTGGTCAGTGTAGTGTTGGATAATCGGTTGAAATTACCAACCGATTATCTATTACTATCGGTTGACAGCAACCAATCGACTATCGGTTATAATCGCATCATTATACCATGCTCTTTTTTTATATTAAATCATGCATTCAGCCACATTGTACATGTTTAATGCATATATTCAATATCATTGTAGAGTTTTATATGTTCTTGTTTGATCATTTGTTTCCTTATCATATTTTATTTAGCAATTAAAACAGTGAATCAATTAGAATCCAGATTCAGATTAAACATATTTTGTCTTATAATTACAACATTTATTACCAACAATGACACAATTTCTAAATTTCAATGGTATCACTCACATTATAATTTCAAATGCATAGCTGTATCAAAATTTGAATGCTTTTCATTAAAAAAAGATATAGAAAGTTTTTAACTTTAAGCAATTTAAAATTAATCAATAAATAAAACAATGCATTGAAATATATACATTTTACAAAGGGGATCCAACAAATGTCTGTTAATTCGTAAGGATTGCGTATTTTTCACTTTTGTGATCATTATTCTTCTGTCAGCTGTGTCATTCGTGCGTCTGTACTTATAATCGTAAGAATACGGAATTCTTTCATAACTGGTCCGTATCGGATCCGTGATTCGTATATATTTCAATGGCGGACAAACCGGGAAAATTTACAAAAATAAACGATGTGTAACAAGCAATTTGGAAAGGAATGTGACGTTTTTAACGCAACAAATGGATGAAACATTAATAAAAGGCAATTTGCACCACGTTCTAATGTAGCAATACATTTATTTTGTCGAAATTCAGAATAATTTGATGTACGCTCTCGAGTTACAAGTACCGGAAGTGAAAGAATGTATTTCATAAAAAGTTCTTTATTTTAAATAACATACGATCAATCTGTAAAGTCAATGCTTTTACCACGTTTATAAAGAAAGAAATTGCTGATGTCTTTGATTATAGGATGTTTGACACTGTCATTGTCATCTCCTGATATTTTTCGTAACAATTTGTTTGACTGCGCATGTAAAATGCAAACCGGAAACGGAGCTGAAGTTAATATGCTAAAATTCCGGAAACTATAACGACAATCGATTAAACAAAATCCCAATCGATTATCGACATCGCCAAGCCCAACCAACTGATTTCCGACTTATTCCGATCATCGGAACAACACTAGATCATCATCATCATCATCATCATCATCATCATCATCATCATCATCATCATTTATAAGATTTATTTTTAGATTTATGGATTTATTTTTTAGAAATAAATAATATAATATATTTTTTAATATAAGTTTTTTTTCCCACTACTATTATTTGTATAGATGATAGGTAGTCATAAAGTTATCCAATTATTCAGTTTATAAACCACTAAACTTTGCTACATGTTAATATCGTTGCTACATGCTAATGTCGTAACTACAATCCCGCTCCCCTTTTCCTGAATGTGACCTACAGAATTTGACTTATTACCCGGTTTGTACTAACATGAGCAACACGACGGGTGCCACATCTGCTTACCCTTCCGGAGCACCTGAGAACAACCCAAGTTTTTGGTGGGGTTTGTGTTGCTCAGTCTTTAGGTTTCTATGTTGTGTTTTGTGTACTATTATTTGTCTGTTTGTCTTTTTCTTTTTTAGACATGGCGCTGTCAATTTATTTTCGACTTATGAGTTTGAATGTCCCTCTGGTATCTTTTGCCTCTCTTTTTCTTATCTTCTATCAATCAGCCACTTGAATTTGTTTACAAACTTATTATCATCAAAACTTATCAACGGTACAGGATACGGAAATATATCTTCCTCGCGGTTCAGGAATATTAAGAAGTAAAAAAATGTTGAAAATGAAATTTTGATAAAATTTTGTTGTTTTTGTATTGCTGTCTCTAAAAATACATTAAAAAATGCATATAATTAATAGAAAGGGATACAATGTTTCTATTGTAGTTTAATAAAATTTTCAGTCAAGAAAATAATTTAATATTTGATGAGTACAAAATTGTACTTACAATCTCCAAACGTATGATCATTATTTGGACCGGTACCAGTAGAAGGCGTGCTTTGAGATTTTGATATCCAGTCTGTGTTGTCTTGTGTATCTTGTATCCAGTCACATATGCCATTCTCAAAGGTGCAATTTGTGTTTCCTTTATTTATATAATAACATTCATAGTATCTTTTATAAAAAAAAAATCATATTAAACAAACTTCTATTTTAAATTCTTATAAATGAAGTTTGTATAATTTTAATCACTTTGGCATCGAAAGGAGTAGGCCCGGTAAGACCCCTTTTTGGCCCCAAAATATAGCATTTTTACTAATTTGTAAAAAAATGTAAACTTTTAGCTATTTATTGGAAAGAAGAATACTTCTGTTCCATAAATATGGGCTGTTTTTGACAATACAGTGCACATGCATCAGGAAATAGCATCATAAATTCATGCAATATTACTGAAATCTTCATAATTTTAGCATTTGTGCTAATTTTAAGACGGTTTTGTCCAAAATGGAAGTAGCCGCATTTGTGTTCAGTCTTAATATTTAAATATATGTTGTATTTGATGATAATACATAACATATATAAAGGTTGAGACTGAACACGAATGCGTCCACTTACATTTTAGACAAAAAACATCTGAAAAGTGGCGTTTTATGGCATATTTGATAGATTTTTCATAATTAAGCTTGAATTTGAGCGTCTTTAATGACCAATAGACTGGACAATGAAGCAAACAACACGGAAAAGGCGTGGTATCAACTGGGGAAGATTAGGGTATTAGAAGATCTTGATTTTGCAGATGATATTGCTCTCCATGTCAGCAACAAGAACACAAGCCAAAACAGATGATATACAAAAGATAGTTGAAACAACTGGATTAGAAATAAACAAGAAAAAAGTAAAATAATGTGTGTAAAGGCAAACAACATCCAGCCTATTACATTGGACAACGAAGAAATAGAGATGGTTGATAGTTTTACATACCTTGGAGCGGTTATAGATACCAGCGACAATGCAACAGCCGATATAAGGAATACAATAAAAAGGGAAGAGCAGCATACTACAAGTTAAGAAAAATATGGACATCAAACCAATACAGTAGAAACACCAAAATGAAAGTTTATAAAAGCAATGTAATATCAGTGTTGTTATATGGGGCAGAATGTTGGAGGATAAGCAAGAGAGATAGAGACAAACTTAACACCTTTAACACCAGGAACTTGCGTAGAATCTTCAAGATATTTTGGCCAACTATGATTTCCAAAACAGAACTGCTGCAAAGAGCCAACATGTGCAGCATCACCAACACCATTAAGACCAGGAGAAGGAGTTGGATAGGTCACATCCTGAGGATGGACCCATGGAATGATTGTCGAATCGCCTTGACGTGGACACCACCTGGAAAGAGAAATGTAGGAAGACCAAAGGAAACTTGGAGACGAATGGAGACAAAGAAAGAACAGAATTTGGATGGAGGACATGGGGAGAAGCACAACAACAAGCAGTAGACAGACTCAGATGGAAGGCTTCCATTCGCGCCCTATGCGACACATGGCGCTAACGGGAGTTGTAAGTTGTAAGTAAGTAATGACCAAATCAGTCCAAATCTTTTACATAAACTAATTGATCGACTGAGGTAGACACTTAAGTGTTTAAAAAGTGTCAAATGTACTTCGAATAATAGGCCAAAACTAGCCCTTACCGGACCTTCTCCTTTCTTCTTTCTCATCCCCAGTTGCCTGATAGGTTATATTAACATCTAGAAATTAGTTTACTGATCTCTATATTGGTCATGATGTAGTGTTTAGATGCTTGTCGCATAAGTTTGAGAGAAATGTTTGGTACTGGTATGGTGTTATTGATAATTTCTATTATATTTTTGAGTTATGATTTATTTACTTGTACTTAAGTTGTGGTTGAAATTTTCTTTGCAAAGCTGGTCATAGATTGTTTTAACTCCTCTGTTCAGGCCATTTTAATTTTGACTTCCAAATATTTGATTTCTGGTACTGGTTATTCAGAATCGCACGCCGTGCTCGTTTCAATCGTTACCGTACATTCTTATTTATCCTTCAAGAATATTCAGTACTAACTATCAAAGCGTATAGCTGATGTCCTAGATGTGACATTTGTTGACATAGATATAGGGTCTGCCATATTTATCCTTGTTTGCAACCTTGAGCTTCAAACTGAAAATTCAGATCTTATTTTGCTACGCAACACATGGTTTATTCACATCTTGCTGTTAAAATTACAAAAGCTTGATGTGTTATAACATTTAGAATATATGAACACATTGTATATACATTTGAGATGGATGTATAAATACATGCTATATTTGGGATGGATGCCTAAATATGTACTGCATTTGGGATGTGTAAATGCATGTGCGATGTTTAGATATTTTCGAAATGTATAAATATAAATCAGAGGGAAATACTTTTCACTGCGTATAGTCATTTGAGAAATGGCGGCGTAAAGCAAAACTTCCATAACAGCACATTGACCTGAGTGTGTAGGTAAAGGTATATTTGGTAAGCTTGCTAGAGTAGATGAACCATGAAATCATTATTAGCTAAAGTACAACCTCGTTTTGGGTGGAGTCAATAGCTAAGCAGGGAAATCAAAAGTAGGAACAATAAAAATATATACATTTGTATTGTGAAACCAGTTTTACAAGTTAGTTCAAAAATATGTTTTCAGGTTTAGGTGTGTTTGATTTGTCAATTTCATTTCAATCAATTACCTCTGTTCATTGATAACTAGATTGCTTACATGTGTAATTCTATATAACATTATATGATTTAATCGATAAAAACCCTTTTCATATCCTTATTATATATGTAAGGATAAGACATTATCTTTGATATGATGTGTATTTTATTTTTTTGGGGGGAGTACTACAGAAGGTGTACAAATAAACTTAGTCGGGTCATCTTTGAAATGTTCCGTTCACAATGCTTTTGTAAAAATTGTATTATATTGTTTTGATTAAAATGAAATTGACAAATCAAACACACCTACAACATGCTTGTGAATTAGCTTATAATTGACACTATATTTTAAATCTAGATTGAAAACATATTTCTAAACTGGTTTCACAATGTTTATGCACTGGCCTTTCTTTTTATTGGTACTCTTCTTAACTATAATAATTGACACCGCCTAAGGGAAGGTGGTACCTTAACTAATAATGATTTCACGTTTCGCCTAGCAAGCAAGCTTTCCAAAGATATAACCTTTACCTACATACACACTTAAGTCATTGTGCTGTTATCAGTTCTTTATATTCCTATCGGAATGGAACTATAGTTCCACAAATTTAGAATTCTTACCTGTTACAGTTACCGTAACAATATCTCAACAGAAATCAATATTCTTAATTACAGTATACATTCTTGCTTTTGAAAAATTTAGATTTATTCACTATATATATTCCTAGAGAAGTAAGTTTTGCAGGCGCAGATAAAATGATCAGTTGGTCAGTGTAGATGATTTATAAGATTTATTTCTAAATTTATAAATGTATTCACATTTTAATCTGTCAGTTTGTCGCAATTTCAAAACTATGAAAATCTGGTGTGTTTTACTTTCTTAAATTTTTTTTTATAGAAAAAAAATATATGAACATTCATCAGTATATGCGCGATTTTTAGATATTTTCGATATGTATAAATACATTTCACTGCGTATAGTCTTTTGGGCAATGGCGGCGTAAAGCAAAACTTCTATTAATCAGTTCTTTATATTCCTATCGGAATGCATATACTTCTACAAATTTAGAATCCTTACCTGTTACAATTACCGTAACAAGTTTTGTCTTTACTTCACCATCACCAATTAATTTGCAAACATAGGTTCCTGCATCTGAGAACGAGGCTTTTTGGATTGTATGTATTCCTGTATTGGCAAAGTTTTGACAGGAGCCTATTTTCGTCATACCAAATAGAGCATCATCAGGTTTCTCTGCCGAACAATTAATATGTCCATGGCCACCGTGTGGAATTGCTAAGGTTATATTTTCTGGTTCGTAGAACTTCAATACTGAATTATAAGGAAACTGTATTATACTTGTACAATCTCGAAATGTTTCAAGTGTCAATTGAATATTTGACAGTCGCAATTTTATTGAATATTTTGAAATAAGTTCCAAATCAAAGTTATTACATTGTAAAGGCTTTAAATGATACAACTAAAAGTAACGCTTAGTATTGTCTTTTCAACAAACACGGTATAGTGAGAAACGGTTGTGTTAAATCATGTACGCGTATCAAAAAACCACCGATGTCTTTTGGGGATTGCATTGATATATATGATAAGTTATCTAACAATAATAAATGTTAAGAAAATATCAAAGTTCATTTATATCAATCTTCCTGTGTCCAAATACATGTATATTGTTTATTTGTTGGGTCAAGCTTTGATTCTATTTTATATAAAATTTTAGTTTTGTACAACAATGTGTTTTGAATTATAATAAATTTCTTTCGTACAAACAATGATACGCTCTACCGAATAATGGTTAATTCGATTATACCAGGAACTCTGAAAGCTTGTTGAGAAGTTCATTTCAATAGTAATCTTTTGTAAAATTCTGACGGTAAAATATATAGTACAGTAAACTGTATCACTTATATCATGCCTCAACAAAACAATTTCACTAATTAACCTCTCTAGACACACTGAGTCGGATTTTCAACGTACTAGCTCATGAGGTAACAGTCCACAGAAAGATTTATCCCCTATTCAGACACACAAAATAATTTAACCTAGAAAGCGAGGAAAAGGGAAGAACGAAAAAGGAAATATCATTCCCAGATTAGATTTAAATGTTGCCATTAAACTTCAAAAGTAACCTCAGGAAATATGAAGTAAATTTCAGGAATAGGGCCTACAAAATCAAATAAATTAAGAACATACGGTTAAGTATTAAAATTAGGTAAATAACTTACATAAAGGACAAATTCCGTTAAGTAGGTCAATGTCATCGATGGAAACTGCCAAATTATTTGTGCGTACATCAAATACAAACTGAATGACATCAGATGTGTTTGGTAGTTGTATGAATTCTTGCGTCCAATTAGTGTCATGATTGTCCTTAATGGTTTTATGAACATAAGTTTGTTTTCCAGGACAAGAAGTTCCCTGCATATAAAAGATATTGCAGTTTTATGTATCTTTCAGGGGAATTTGGTACTACCCGTAGGAGAATAATAAATTCAAATATTTTGTGCACAAATGACGGTAAAAGATATATGCTTAACAGTATAAACTTTAATTACTATTTTTAACAAATAAAAAAGACTCAAATATCTTACGAAATTCCACATAACCATTTCTAAAATTGTTACTATTTTATAAACCAACAAGTATCCTAAATTGTCAAGCAGAAATGTTTTGCAATGCCATGACGTTACATATTTATATCAATACTTTTACATTTTGCATTCCAATTATCAATGTTCAGTTGTCATAAGATCAATCCTGAAATAAATCGACAATATAAATAAGAAGATATGGTATGAGTGCCAATGAGACAACTATCCATCCAAATCACAATGTGTAAAAAGTAAACAATTATAGGTCAAAGTAAGGCCTTCAACAAGGAGCCTTGGCTCACACCGAACAGCAAGCTATAAAGGGCCCCAAAATGACTAGTGTAAAACAATTCAAACAGGAAAACCAACGGTCTAATCTATATAAAAACGAGAAACGAGAAACACTAATGAACCACACCAACAAACGACAACCACTGAACAACAGGCTCCTGACTTAGGACAGGTGCATAAAAATGCAGCGGGTTTAAACGTTTTAACAGGCGCCAACCTTCATCCTAACCTGAAATAGTAGTGTAACAGTACAACATAGAAAGACACACTATAAAATATCAATTGGAATGGCTTAACTGAAGTATATAAGGGGAAAAAACATACGAATGCGTCGTAGTAGCAGGCATCCTTTGTTTTGTCATAAGATTCCAAAGTTATTGCATGTTGAAAGTGTCATAGTAAGTTATATGACAAAACATGTAAAAGCGTCATATGGACCACGTGCATAATAGACATATGACGGGATCTATGACAGAATAAAAATGTCACTAAAACTGAGACACTGAATCGATCAAACAATCGGCAATGGCGAATTGTGATAGGATACCTCTGATAGGTAATTACAACTTTTGTTTTACTTTTTCATTTATACTCGTACAGTTTTGATTACTATACTTCAGTACCAACTTACCTTTGTTGTAACATCAATAGTACTACTAGGTGAACTACCGATTATCTGATTTTTATACCAGAATGTCAGGCACGATGAACTATTAAGTTTCACCCATAGAGACTCAATCCTAGATGTTGAGTTGTCATACGTGTAAAGAAAACGACCTTTCTCTGCAATGTTATAACGATATTAATGTGTTTACTGTAATATAAGCTCAGTTGTTTAGTGATGTACATGAGGTATACAGAACTGTATGGGTTTCATGATAAAAATCTGCATAGAATGTGTCTCGAGCCCAATAAAAACAAATCTGATTTAATATATCCCCATATAACCCATTGAAATTACTTGTACTACATAACATTACCCTTATAAAACCCATGTTGAATACCAGAGACCATATGTCTCTGTGAATACTTACAAAACTTCTGATTATGATTTTTTTCTGTAAAATGTGAATGTCAAAGTTTCAATTTTATTTTTTTTTTCCGTTTTCCAAACAGTAGTCTCTAATACGGTTAAAGATAACGCGTAAATGATAGTAACTGTGTTTAAATAAGAATGAAAAGTTGGAATTGAAAGTATAATGCACTGAGACAACGTTTAGTGCAGAAAAAGTGCTATGAAGTTCCGCTTGCAGTAAATTCAGACTAGTTCAACACCTTCAGTCAATTTAGTGATTACTGTGCAATATGGGAATTCGAAAACAGAAAATTCAATTGATTTGAAAACAATCAAAGAGAAAAGTGTTCAGTCACAAATTTATCCACAATTTTACTACCAAATAAAAAAAATAAGCTTTTAAATGTATCAGAGTGGAATCCCCTCACATAAGGACAATACGATTTCATCATATATTGTTTTTAATTAGTTTACGATCAGATTATTTTAGTTGGTTGGGATTAACAAGTTTTGAACAAGGATAAACTATGATGTTGTTTCATATTTATATCACATCCAAATGACAGTGTCAAATTATCCTAATGTTCTTTCGTTTCTTACAATTGCCTCAGATGTGACCGGCAAGCGTTTTCTCCAATTGCATTTAACAAATTCTTAAACTGTCAGAGGCTTCTAATAACAGATTTAAATTAACCTGTAAAATTTGCATTTATTTATATTATAAGATTTCCGTCTGTATGCGAAGATCGGAATAGGCATTTACCAAATTTAAAAATTATATCAGATATCGATAGATGACGCATTTTGATTTTTTTTTAACATCATCTTAATTTTCAATTTTCTCATTCGTAAATACGAAATATAATGTTTAAAACAAATAAATAAGAACAGCTGAACGCTCTGAAACTAGAAGTAACATATTTTCACGAATCGCAAAAATGTATGAGCATGACTTAATTAATCGTTGTCGGATTGTCCAAAAATTTACTAAAATAATGATCATGAGAACTACATTCTTTTGTTGTCTTTTAAATTGGCTATGATATCTTCAAAATGCTCGTTCTAGTTAAAATTCTATTCACAATCGAAAAATCATATAAACTTGTATAATAAAAACTCACTTGACCCCTTTGTATGATCATCTGAATTATTAGCCACACGCCATTTGTACAATTTAAGATGACAAAGGGAATTTTCAAAGTCGCAAGATACACCGTCCCCGGAATCTAAGAACACAGAATGACAAAGAAATTAAATAAATTAAGGGTATTATTATGTTCCGTTGATAATGTTGGTATCATTTTAGCCTCCATACATACATGTACTCACACAAGTATATATTCTTCGAAATCCTTTAGAAAACGCTATAATCTCCTAAAGAGGTGATTTTTTCAACTTAGATTGTCTTTTAAACTGTCAAACTGATGTCAAATTGGGACAAGCTCCAATTGTAAAATTGCTGCTTAAGACGTGTGTTGATATAAATCAGTTTATACCCATATATGCATTCCATTGTAACTGTCTACATTTCGTTTACGCCTCGTATCCGATTTAGTAGAAAAATAAGTTACTTTTACTTAACTCAGTCTATATGTATGATATTGTATGAAGCCTTATTTGACGCAACTTGAAGGAATGTTCGGTTTTTAATGATCTTCAACTTCGTATTTTATTCGGCCTATCAACCATTTTGATACGAGCGTAACTGGTGAGTCTTATGTAGACGAAACATGAGTCTGGCGTACAAAAATTATAAACCTGCAATCTTTGATTGTTTTGTTTTTTGTTATTCAGTTGACAAGGAATTTAAAATTTTCGTCCGAATCTTGTAAAATGAATGTTGGAGTATAGATAATCAATCATCCAGGTTAACCTTTGTTGGATAAAATGACAAAATCATTCTAAATCATGATGGACAGGGTAATAAGTAATTGGGGTTTTTTTATACCATAGCTATAATACTTGATTTAAAATACTAACAAAATAGAATACTTTACTGATAAAGGATATTTTTGTCAGGAAATGCGATTTTTCCATCGTTTTGTCAGGAAATGCGATTTTTCCATCGTTTTGTCAATGCATTGGTGCATTGAATTCTCCGATAATATTTTATTTTTTTTCGGTAGGATTCTTGTTGCTCAGTTTTTTTTTTTGTAGTGTTTTGTAGACTTTTGATTTTCTTTTTGATCATGTGTAGTTTGATTTTCTTTTTGATCATGTGTAGTTTGATTTTCTTTTTGATCATGTGTAGTTTAATTTTCTTTTTGATCTTGTGTAGTTTGATTTTCTTTTTGATCATGTGTAGTTTGATTTTCTTTTTGATCATGTGTAGTTTAATTTTCTTTTTGATCTTGTGTAGTTTGATTTTCTTTTTGATCATGTGTAGTTTGATTTTCTTTTTGATCTTGTGTAGT